AGAAATCTAAATCACGTGATTAAAATTTAGTTTTAAATTGTGCCCGCAGCCTTTAAAGGTTATTGATAATGTTTAGGTTATCATGACCAAAAGAGGGATAACAGTAAAAATGACAGACATTCTTACCTTCTTTTTTCAGCTGATTAATGTAAAGACATCGCAGTTCAACAAGTGTTCAAATTCTTCCACACACCAGAATATTATGTGTATATAAAATTGCCTCTATAAACAAACAAGACCACTAGTTAGAAGATTGGCTGTTTCTATATAGTTATTCTTAATGCCTGCCACCAGGTCGGATTCAGTTGGATTCCCCTTGAAATCAATGAAATGAGGCAGTGGAAACCCACCTTGTAGGGGCTTTTAGTTACTTGTTGTTGTTAACAAAGTGTCATAATGTATTTTTGTACAGCCAACTATTTGTAAATGGATGTCATTATAACCTTATTTTGGAAAAAAACATCATTCCTCATGGGAGGGACATGAGCCTAATTTCTGCAGCGGAGCCCGGTGGAACATGCCAGGACAAGCTCAAAGTATTTATAACATCAGATCAAAATAGCTATTTGTTAAATGCATTCTGCCGCACAGCCGATGAATCATCCCTGTCAATACAAAAAAAGAGCAGAATAATGGGTGTGGGGTGTTTTCTTTTGAGGGGAAAAAAAACGGAGTGATGGAGAGAAAGTTTGCCTTCACAGCTGTTTTTCAGTCCAGCGAGGGACAGCCCCGAGCTCTGTCTCAGCACTGCCTTACTCAAGATCCAGAGTTACTCGTGTTTACAGGTTTGCCAGTGGGAGCCGAACAACCCAGTACAAACACAGTACACTCTTGTTTTAACCACTGAGCAAGCCTGTTGGAGTATGCTGTGGAGGGGTTAAGAGCTTGGCTCAAGTGCACTTCAGGAGTAATTGTTGATTATGGTTAGGAAGGCCAGATTTTCCCACCTGGTCCAGAATTGGAACTTTCTTTCCCCCCACTCACAGGCCCATCAAGATACTTTCAGGCCAATGATTTCGATCTGTAACCCTCTCCAACCCCCCCGGCTGTAGAATAAGCCAAACCCTTGCTGCCTACATCCACTTATAGAAGTAGACTTTTATCCCTCCTGTCTCCAGTCCTCATGCTGTCTAGTTGTGGAAGCAGCTGGCAGGAGGAACAGACTAGAATGATGCTGACGGCAGGTTAAGATTAACACACACATAGAGAGAGACAGAGCAGAGCACACCAAAGCTCTGTGTAGCAGTCAGTGGTGCTGAATGCAGACCATGACACAGCTCCATTGTCAGTGACGGACTACAGTACACGCTGCCTGTCCATTACTGCTGATGGCAGACCTGACACAAAGCCACGGCCTATTGAAATGAGCGAGTGAATGGGTGCATAACAAGGTCATTAGAGGTGAAGTTGGAGGCAGTAAATGGCCAGAAGGCTGAATTAGACTAATCAGTTGTAGCTTTGTTAAACAGTGTGTCTGATTAATGTTACCTCCGCTGGCCTGTGACTGATGCTGCGACAGATAGACTAAAGCTGGTTTGGAGCTTTAGAGCAGAATTTCATGCAAATATACCCTTTTTGAATAAATATCTAGTAAGTGTAAAGGACTGATACGGCCCCATAAAGATGAGTACAGTGTTATAGTAGAGAGCACTTGAAATTGCACTGCACCCATAAGTCTTGAACTGCTGCGTTTTCAATTTAACTAAGAATACTCTAATATTAAATAATAAAACAGTATCACGTTACCCAGGAATATTTAGGCATGCACAATATGGATTTTAGTTTTTCAGCCAATAATTACCTGCATCTCGTGGCCGATACTGTTAAGATAACTGATAATTTAACATTTTTTGTATTTTAAAAAGAAGTTGATAACCTGTAGTTTATGCACACCTGATAGGAAAGGCCAAGGTGTGGATGGATGATTTTAATAATACTCTGACCTAACAAAACCTCACATCACATGTTAATAGAACAAAAACAAAGATCAGTTTGGACTCTTCAAATGTAAAAAAATAAGAAATTATTTTTAGGAACAGCTAATTTATCTGTTATATACATAATTATATAGATTTCCTATTATCGTAGTATTGTCGAGTATTTTTCAGAATGGGTAAATTCATGAGTTGCCACCATTGTGGATCAGGTTTTAAGTTGGTAAAAGTCTCAAATCTTTTATCTTCCCTCACAAGAAAAGCAACATTCAAAAAATTCAGGTGGTTAATTTAGGAAGCCCTGATTTGATTAATTTTGGGTCTATTTGATACTCCTGAGGTTCACACACACCAGATACATACACTGATATTCAGAACTGATATTGTATCATTCAACTGAAAATGTCAAACAGGAAGTTGTATCTTTTTAGCCAGTACTACTAAATGGAGAATATATTATCTTTATGTAGTCTTTCAAAACTTTTAGTTTTTGTTGTATTTAAAAAATATTTATAACTTCTGTTATTTAAAGCAGCACTAATAAACGCTGTATTAAAGTGGCAATCCTTAAGATTTCAGTCCTGGTTGATTTGGCGACACCTGTAGCTGCTGGTGGTAACAGCAAATGTGATTTAATACCAAAAGTCAAAGAATTATGGGGGCAGTAAAATAAACATTGTCATTTTAATAAAGAAGTCAGTCAATAACTGGCCTTTTTCAATCATCCGTTGAGCAACAGTGGTCTGATTTTCCAGTCCGTGAACAGCAGCAGTGAAAGTAACCTTGGGTACCTGGCTGTAAGTTGGAGGTGTGCAGCCTGTCTCCTGCAGCTCTTCATCTAATAACTTTCTGTGGCTGCTCCGCTACTTCCATTACTCCCTGACATATTTCAGACTAATCCAATTCTGTCAAAACATTCTGTCTTGACATTTAATTAAGTGAAAATCTTCAAGATTGCCACTTTTACTCTGGGTCAAACTTACTCCGACTACATGAAACGTGGAAGTGGTCTCTCATTGTGACAAACCTACAGAGGATTATCACCCATTTTTGTAGTTCCCCTCAGCTGCACAGAGCCTTCCAGCCTCCTTTAGCTCAGTATTTAGTTTTATGGCTCATTTACTTTGTGATTCAGCCTTAACCCCATTCCAGCAAGAGCAGGCAGCTGTTTTTAGCAAACAAGCTCTGATAAGCCCACTGAACACTACCTGCTCAGCACCACACTGCAGACAGATAAAGTTAGTGAGCACTGAGCAGCTAAAGAGACAGATATTTTTCTCAGGTTCTGGTGGAGCTTAAAACAGAGTGAATGTTGGACTTAAATTCATCAGGTAACCAGAAGTGCGATTCCGGCTGAATGATGATGTTTCATCAAGTCTGATGTGTTAACACACTAAGACATTTGCTAGAACAACTCACAACTTTGGCTTTTTCCACTGCCCCCTAGTGGCCATAAAAATGAATTAACCCAGCCTTAATGCTGAAAAAGCCTAAATAAAACCCAAAAACCTAAATAGATTTGATGGGATTCAGCGTAAAATAAATGGATTCAACACTTCATTCATATTCAGTTAAAATCCACAAACTCCAACTCTGGAGCATGATTGTGAATTTATTTACATTTTCAGGTCTATGTGTATATATATATATAATGTGTGTGTGTGTGTGTGTGTGTTTTGCAGGACGATCCTACAGCGTGTTCTCTCAGCGTATGTTGAATCAGTGTCTGGAGTCTCTAGTGCAGAAAATCCAGAGTGGAGTGGTGATAAACTTTGAGAAGACTGGGCCTGACCCCCCTCCTCTAGAGGGTAAGAGACACATTTGTTTGTCATTTCTTCTTGACTCTGTTTCTAAAGGATCTTTTTGTCAACTGCTGCACTGCATCTGTTTGATAAGTAGAGAATCTCTTTGCTTTCTCCCACTCACTGCTTTTTAATCCTCTCTGAGCTTTTCTTTACTGTTCACAAACAGCTGGTGGATGTCACCTTCATATTTGAACTGCCTACACACTTTTACAGTTTATGGAAATCATTTTGTTGTGTTTTCATACCTCACAAGCACGTTCTTGTCTTTAACCTTCTTTACCTTAAACTGCTGATGCTTGTTTTACCTGTGAAGTCAGCTTCCTCTCTCCTGTATGTGCCTCTTTAGATGCTCCAGCTGAGGCAGTGAAGTCCAGTGTACAGCCGTGGCACTGTTGTCACAAGCTAATCTATGTACGACCCAACCCTAAAACCGGCGTCCCCATCGGTCACTGGCCCATCCCTGAGGCCTTCTGGCCGGATCAGAACTCTCCAACGCTGGTAAGAAACATTTGGAAGAATCAGCAGAAATATTGCACCAGAAATCATTTGTATGGTTTAACCATGTACATTTGACACTGTAATACCCTAATGTTAAGGGTTAAGTTATATAAAACTCTTTATATCTATTTCTGTTAATCTAATATTCCAGTCCGCATAAAATATAGATTCACTAATGGAAAATAGACTGGCATTACAAGTGTATTTGTTTGTTTACATGGAAACTAAATATAAAAAGTCAGGCAGCTCCTACAATTATAATGGAGCAAAAGGGGAAGTAGTGAAGATAATAAAACAGAATTACACAGGCCAATTGAATTGCACTATAAAACAATAAAGATACAGGATAGGAAGGTAGCAGCAAGTGACTAAAGGTCTGTTCAGACAGGAAGTGACGCTCCGCCTGCGTATCCGCTCGGATCGGCAGGATCTCACTGTATGCGAGTAAATGCTCGACGCACAACGCATGGAAATGGTTTCAGTGCACTACAGACAATCTAGCCTTGTGCTGCTGCTCTGCCATGTGAATTCCCTCCTGTTAATGTCCTGATAACAGTTAAAAACAGTTATACAGTTCAGTTATGTAGGATATAATTCAGGAAACTCAAACAGCAAGGATCAGGTCCAATTTGTTTGCAGTGTGACATCAGTGTGAACAGTCATGGGACTTTTATGTCACTCTAGATCTGTTTTCGTCACACAGGTAACTTCAGGACTGTGACCTGTTCACACTGCAATCTGATATGGCTAAGCTAAGGCTTGCAGTGTGAACGTGGCCTATATGTTCCCTGTAAACAGAATACACAGTATAAACAGAGGATGAAAAGTTGTTTTTTGTGTTTTTTCTTTCTTTTACAGTGCAACATATTAATGTGATGCAACATGGAATAAAATAGTATTTCTATTTACTTATTACTCTCTCCTTCTCCCAGCCCCCACGCTCAGCCCACCCCCATGTTCGTTTCTCCTGTCTGGACGCGGAGCCCATGGTGATAGACAAGGTGCCCTTCGACAAGTATGAGCTGGAGCCTTCGCCTCTCACACAGTACATTTTGGAGAGAAAGTCCCCGCACACCTGCTGGCAGGTACAGCACCGTCACAAACGCAACACACTGTGAAACTGAACTAACATTTGCACCTGGTGGTTTGACAATGATTTCATTCTGTCACACAGCTGGATGCTAACAGGGAAGTAGTAAAAGCAACATTAGATGTTCCACTGTATTTGCTGTGTGTCGAGAATGACTGACTGAGCAACTGTGACGAACTGTAAACATGGTGACATGCTAACATGTTAAATGGTGCATACTAAATATTAGCAAGCTAAGCTAAAAACATGATGAAATGATGATAAAATGTTACAGGCTAAACATCAGCATATGAAAATCTGAGGTTAAAATGGATGCTAACATGCTAATGTTAGAACAGTAGCATTACAACAACAGTAGCTCAAAGGACAGCTGGGCTTAAGTACCTCAGGGTCTGTAGTCTGTAAACCTGGAGACTTGTTGTTCTCTGCCATCTATCAATACTGTTGATCTACAAATGAACCGGGTTATATGCAGAAATGGAAACGCTTACTTGCTGTTACAGTAAGAAATGCACAGCTGTCATATGCCGTGTCCTACTTTGCTGCATTGAATGTGTGACAGAGGTTAGTTGAGGTGAAAACATTAGCTGAAAAATCACAGAGGGAGTGTTGAAAGTGCAGTCTTCATTTTAAAGAGGGCGTTCATACTTATGTATTGGTTACCCACTGGTAGTGATATTAATGTAAGAACATGGCTCAGGCTACAGGTCTTCATGATGGTTATATCCCAGTGAATCAGCAGTTAACAAAAACAAACCTTAACCTAGTTTTTGTTCTCTGGTTGCAGAGATCTAATGTCACCACATATTCATTTCTCTCTCTCTCTCTCTCTCTTGTCTTTTAGGTGTTTGTATGTAACAGTGCCAAGTACAGTGACCTGGGCCAACCGTTTGGCTACTTAAAGGCCAGCACAGCTCTTAACTGTGTCAACCTGTTTGTGATGCCCTACAACTACCCTGTGCTTCTGCCACTTCTGGGTAAGACTGATGGATTCGTGTCACATTTGGCCTTCGTCCCTTTTTTTTTTTTTTTTTTGTTACTGTCACTGTATGTGCTCCTGTGACATCAATACTCTTGGCATATAGTGAAGAGGAGTCTCAGCATCAGTCCTTTGTTCTGTGTCATGTTATGCTCTTTGTGTTTGGTGTCATGCACTTCCTCCATATTCCTCAGCACCTGTAAATAAATGTGGTGATATGTGCTATTACAGTAAGAGTGTCATTAGCCTGAGTCAATATAATATGCCATTAGTAAGGTCAATAAACTCATTAGGATTTGGGGACTGGCTTGAGAAAACTGAATGAATCCCTGAAAAAGTGTGAAATGTGCAATTTCTCTCTTGTATAAATTTATCACAAGATGCTTTGGTATATTTGTTTTTTGTTGTTTTAAGTACTTGTTGCAGATAAATATCATATTTCAGTATATACTTACCTCTCTTCTTTTTCTTGCTTATTACAGACGACTTGATCAAAGTGCACAAGTTCAAGCCTACCATCAAATGGCGGCAGTCCTTTGAGAACTACCTGAAGACCATGCCCCCATATTACATTGGGGTCAGTGGATTTGGCATCAATCTTCAGCTCTTTATTTTTCATTTGATTGAAATGCGAAGACACTAAGAGCTGCTGCACATGTCTTATTGTGTTGCTGTGTTCTTTCCACAGTCCCTGAGGAAGGCACTGAGAATCATGGGAGCACCAAACCTGCTGGCTGACAACATGGAGTATGGCCTGAGCTACAGCGTAGTCTCCTACCTGAAGAAGCTCAGCCAACAGGTTAGCATTTTTGTGATTGATGATTTACTTATGTATGTTAGTTTTGGTCTTTTTTCATGGCGCTAGTTGACAATAACTAAACCACTGAAAAGCATTGGAAAAAAAAGTTACAAAATGCATGTTAAGATTCAGTTTTAACTTTGGTAATTTTTTACTTCATTTTCTAGTTTTCTGACAGCATTTGAGAAGAGTTTTTTATTTTGTTAGATGCAAAAAAAAGTTTATAATCAGCAAATTAAATACAGGAAAAATGATCAACTTTGGTTAAAAAAATGATACCCAACCTTGGAGTTTGTGTTGTTTATATTGTCTTACACATCAAGTGAGAGCCTAAATGTAACTGCATTCAGAATGCACCCATTCATATTTCTAACTTGCTCACTTTTCCAGTCAAAAATCGAGTATGACCGCCTGATTGCCTTGATTGGTAAGAAGCTGCCACCGGAGGCCGGCATCAAGGTCCGTTGGCGAGGGGGAGGTATATCTCTGGCCCAGCGCAGGGACTTCATCCAGCAGCTGCAGAGTCTCACAGGAGAGGCTCCAGCTCTGCCCATGGAGCTCAACCCCAAAGAGTTTCAGGGCTTTCACCTGGCACTGCTCAACAAGGTACGGTTGGATTTTCATTTCGTCAACAAAATCTAAATTTTTCTCAACTTTTATAAGAGAGAATTATCCAGTCATCATTACACACATCAACATTGTCTGTACTGAACTGCATTTACTTGGACAGTTGTGATTCTGGTGTTCAATATGAGAGTAGTTCCTTGTTCAAATCCACTTTTACTCATTCACTCTCTGCTCAGACTTTGTTTGCCTTCCTGGGTTTCCATCCAAAAATCCTCCTGAGGTGTTTATTGAGATGTTTTATGTAGTTTGTTTGGGTGCTTGAGGGCTCCGCATTGAAAAATTGCCATCTCTCTCAGACTGTATCCACTGTATAACCACTCTATTATGGCCAAAGTACGACAGTATTTCATCAGAAAACGACCATCTTTCCTGACTTGAAGGAAGGCCATATTTAAAGCCCTATCCCTCACTCTACAGTCCTGTCTGTTTTGTGTCCTCACCAGGGCCTGAAGCCGCAGAGCTTTAGGAATCCCTATGACATCCCCCGCAGCCATCTGCTGGACCAGCTCAGCCGAATGAGGAGGAACCTGCTCAACACCAGCGTCTGTAATCTTAGAGGGCAGGACTCCGGTAAGTCACTGTGCAAGTCTGTTTCCCACACCCACTGCTGGGTTGCATCATAAGTGTGCTCTTTTATTCCTGTAACCACACCCAAAACTGTCAATGTCAGGGTAAAAACTTCCACCACTTACTGAAGGTCAGCAAAAAAAGATTTTCAGCTGGCGTTAATTCTCCCTTTGTGTTGCTGAATTTCCCTGTCTCGTGTTCAGACCAGCTTCACAGTGTGCCAATAGCCCAGATGGGCAACTACCAAGACTTCCTCAAAGCTGCTCCTCAGCCCCTTCGAGACGCAGACCCAGAGCAGCCAAAACGCTTGCACACATTCGGCAACCCCTTCAAACTAGACAAAAAGGTAAGTCCCACCGACTCATATCAACCCTAACCCTGATCCTCTTTTATAAGTTACAGACAAATGTGAATTGACCTTCTCCCTCACTCCTCTCTCAGGGCATGATGATCGACGAGGCGGATGAGTTCGTGACTGGCCCTCAGAACAAGGGGAAGAGACCGGGAGACAGCAACAACATGCCGGGTGGGGGCCCCAAGAGACGTCGCTGCATGTCACCTCTGCTGCGTCTGGGCAGGGCCTACACCCCTCCAGTAACACCCCCTGCCAGCCCTCGACCAACAGCAGGTGAGATTTGTGTTGAGACTATAAGACATGTATTTTATTTACCGTTTTATTTAGCATTCCCAATTGCGTCACCCATTGGTTTGTGGACTACTGTTTTAAAGCTTTGTGTCTGGTGTCATATAGTGGTCCTGATTAAGCACACCCTGCTTTATCATCTATTTTACTCTTTACTGGACCATAATTTACAAACTGAACATAATGCTGTATGGAAGAATACAGGGAACTAGCGATTGAGACCATAAACTCATTAGGAAAGTGTTTACTGAGGTAATAAATCAAGTACAACCAGTGGAGTTTCCCCCTCCTGGCCATTAGAAAGAATGCAGGTTTAAGGCACTCCGGATTGGTTTCACTTTTTAGACCTGGAAGCTACATGCACTATTTCTATAGAGTCTATAATAATTGTGCATCTTATTATCTAAAATGATCTGTAAAACTGTTTCAATCACTGTTCAGTTTTGACTCTTTCTAACTTGAATTGCAGCTAGACCTGCTGACACACTTCTTCTAAATCACTCAGGATTAGGCTCTTCACAGTGATATCAGCAGTGGAATACCAGCCTACGCTGTAAAATCTTACTCTGTAACGTCCCTAAAGGTTTTCTGAAAAGCCAAGTGCATTAAAAAACTTTGGTAGTGTTTGGTAGGAAAGACATTTTATTATATATATACATTTTTTTTTTAAATGTTGATGGGTTTTTCCTTTTTAAAAATAAGCCTTTAAAGGTGTCCTGTGGAGTTTTTTGTAAACATTTTCTGTTTACATTCAGTGTGTCTAACTAAAACCCATTGTGTGTATCGTTGAGGTCTAACAAACATGCAGAATGCATTTCTATTGTCATAAAATATTTGCAAAACGTACCATTTATTTACATTTTAAATCTTGCATTGTTTACATCCATGTGCACTTCCTCTTTCCTGCCTTTGTTGGCACATTGCTCCATTTCTTGGCGCTGTACTGCCACCTGTGGACCGCTCCTGAAACACTGCTTCACAGTGCTAATAGTGGTGAAAAGTTAGGGGACACAGATTAAATAAAGAAGGGATTAATGATTGAAGCAGCAGACACAAAGTTGTGTTGAATTCTTTGTCTCTAAGAAAATGATCAAGCTACAAAAACTTTATTATTATTATTATCATTATTATTATTATTATTATTATTTACCTATCATTTACAGTGTAACGGTCTTAAATTGTCAGATGATGTGAACGCAGGAATAAATTCCCCCATCTCTTTCTAAACCTGCAGACATGGACGAGAATGAGGACACACCTGAACCGGACCTGATCATCAACCACCTGAATCAGAACCACTACGGCTCAGAGACCTCGGACTCGGAGGTGGATCATCCCTCGGGGCCTGCAGACCACCAGGAGAACCACACGGCCGAGGACCCCCAGGACCTCCGGCACACGGACGAGGAGGAGAACGGCCGTGCCCTGGCGGGCGAGCTGCTGCCGGGCTGCGAGGGAGGAGCAGAGATGGTCCTGGTGGAGGACCAACCGCACCGCTTCCTGTCACCTGCAGCTCTGAAGAAGCACATTCACACAGAGACGACCAAGGTCAACAACGAGCTGAGGGCACTCATCACCAAGGAGATCAGAAAACCTGGCAGACGTATGTAGCCAAATGTAGCCTTTTCTAAATTTTAGAAGAACGAACTACATAAGTGCCTTTTTCATAGCAATTAAACTTTGTTTTGCCGTCAAAGTTGTTTACAAAAAACAGAAACCTGTGGATTGAACTTGGTTCAAGTCAGTGTTGTAGGCTACATAATAAAAAGTTGTTCTAAGTATCTATTATTTTTATTTGTCTGTATGGCAGCTGATGCTATCATATATATACCACCACACCTATACAGTATGTCCATGCTTCAAATCGTGACCAAAACATGAATAATGACCAATTAATAAAAAAAAATAAACATCCTTTAAGGAAGGAAACTGAGGCAGGTGACAAAAAACTATGTAACAAAGTGTTTAAATATGATTTCAAATCTCTGTGCTGGAGTTAATTATCAGCTGACATGTACACTAGTGTCAGTACATCTGTGATAAACTGATACCAACTGGATTTTAGTCAACAGACTAAGCAACAAGATCATAATAGAAATAATCATTAGTTGCAAACCTAGAACGAATCCTTGATAAGTGAACATTTTCTGAGAAGAAATGGTAATGTTATTACCCATTAGCATTCTGCTGTATTCATAGAGGACTGGATGAAGTGTCCTAGAGACACAGCAATAAACATTCAATACTCATTCTTTAACTTTTTCTTTCTTAGACTACGAGAAGATATTCCTCCTTCTGAAGCAGATCCAGGGCACTCTGGACACCCGACTCATCTTCCTCCAAAACATTATTAAGGAGGCAGCCAGGTACAGAGTTCAACCCTCCTCTGAGAGCATTACTGTCATTACCCTGCTGTCTTGGATAAACTGTGAAGAGAACCATTTGGAAACAACCTGTTTCTTTTGTGGTCACTCAGTTATCTTTGCCTAGGCCCCTCCCTTCACAACTTCCTTCAAATAAAATATCTGCATCCCTTTCCAGACAGGAAATCTGATTATGATTATTATAACGCCTCAAATGTAGCTTTTAATGCACTTACAGTTTGGTTTCTGTAGCAGTTAACATGTGTTTCTATCATTTCTTACCTGCAAAGGTTCAAGAAGCGCGTTCTCATCGAGCAGCTGGAGAACTTCCTGGAAGAGATCCACAACAGATCCAATAACATGAACCACGTGGATACGCTCTGAGACCGGCCCAAACTGAACTTGCTGATAATGACCCCGACAACCCTCCACATCCTTATTAAACCTCCCCTCCTCCTGTACTGGGCCCCCCACGGAGACGAGACAAGACTACATCCAGCCCTCAAACTGTCACCTCTTCAGTGGACTCTTCTTCATTGTCTCAGCATTGTTGATGGTCGTGTTGGTTTGCACACAGTATGAACTGGTTGACCCTGGATGGTTCAAGGGCATTTTTCTGATATCAAAAAGGGGGAGTGTGGAAGAATTTTATCTCCACAGGTGAAGTGTTTGCCTACACAATGAGGTTTTTGGCCTGTAGAACATTTGAGCACAGTTGTTTTCTGATCAGTGAACCCGTCCTGAGGCATTCCCGTTGATTATTCTCCTCTGATTCGGTTTTCTTTTTAAATGACAAACGAGTTTTAAAAAAAAAAAAAACCCTTAAACGAGAAGGTGGAGTAAACGAGGGAGTGCAGGACCTTTCTGGAGAGGAACCGATGGCTGCCTGCGCCCTGGGTGTTACGTTCAGCCATGTCTTATTTGTTGACGACATGACGGGCCGACAGTGTAGGAAGGGTTCAAGTTGTGTGAGTGCGTGTGGTCGCGCGTGCGTTTTCAGCCAACTCAGGGTCAAACGGGATCCAGTGGAGATGCTCATGAAACATTTTTCTCCCCTCATGCCTTTTCATTCGTTCACTTTTCCCTTCTCGTTAGGTTTTCTACTTTTTTGGCGTTTTGTTGTGTGGGAGGATGAGAGTCTGTCGTCGTGTTTGATTGTTGAAATTAACTTTCTACACTCCACTAACTGAAGCACTCCACTGCTGTGCTCTTAAATGGGTATGACTTGGCTCAAATCTTGAATTTGTCAACTTGTGGTTTACCTGCCAGACTGACAATTAATGTTATTGAGTAGTAACTTAAGAATGAATAATTTTTGTTTCCCCCCGGGGGGAAAAAAAAAAGCTGATCTGCATTTTTCGTTACGCCTAGAGACAGTAAACTTAAAAAGTCTGTCTTTATCAATGCAGGTTTTCAGAGAGACCAACACAAAGTAAAATCATTTTGAATGATGCAACATTATTGGTTACAAATGTTGAAATACAGGGACAACAAGCTCAGGAACTAACACTAATGCATCATAATCAGCAATAACATTGGAGCTACTTTTACCCCCATTTTTATCTTTATTTTAGCCTGAAACAGCTGATATGCAACACAAACTGTTGTCCCCTGGAGTGTTGATGAATCGAGGGCTCGGATGCCAGCTTGTCCCAACATGTCCCAACATGCTGGTCGCTGCCAAATAACTTAACCTGCCCACTGAACTCCTCCCCCGCCGTGAATCTCAAACCAACTACTTGTCACTTAACCGTGAATGCACTTGTGTAAATTTGAGAATGTTTATTTAATGTAATTTAAAAGAAAAAAACTACCTTTTTGTTGAAGAACTTTGTTTTCCAACAATCTTCTTCTTTTTTTGTCAGTCCTTTTCAATTTTCTCAAATATACACAAATAATATGAATTAAGGTCTAGAGGTCAAGAGTTGATTTCTGATTCAGAGGGCAGCCCTCTTCTGTTCCCTCCCTCCTTGGACAGGGACCAAAATCTGCCATACTTGTCTTTGTTTGTGAAGAGGCCGCTACCAAAAGAGTATTTTGAATACACTGTAAAGATGTAAATAACCCTAGAGTACTATTTAAAGAGAATGTTCAGTGGAAAACGGCCTTTTTGTAAGTATTTCCATGAATAAAGTTTCTATTTTACACTGTGAAGGGCCATGTAAATAAAGTGTTCTGTAAAGATGTGACTCTACGTGTTTTTGTCCAAGTTTGTTGATCATTTTAGTAACCGTGCATCACACAGGGGAGGGGCTTTTTTAAATTCACAATAATGGGAGGAAAAAAAGGAGCAAAACACCGTTAGTGTAAAAACATGTATTAAAATTTTATTTACAGACATGTACAAAAATATTGTCCCTCTTCCGGAAGTGTCCGTGGACCCTCCTGTTGGTCCACAAATAAATACCAGTAGTGAAATAGGGGTCGGGGGTAGGAGTGTGTGTGGGCATGTGTGTGAGAGGTGTTTGGGTACATGAGTCTTAGGGTGCTTGGTCTGCTGGGTTCATCACTCGGCCCATGAACAAGATGGATCCTGAAATGAAGAACACAATAAAATAAGAGTTAAAGTTACAATTATTCATTTTAGAGGCTTCTACCAGTGCTTTTTTTTTGTACATTTATTTTCTTAAGACACTGAAAAATATGTGTGCTTTTAGCCTCTTTAATTCTTCTGAAGGCATATGTTTGTGGAAAAATTAGATGGTGGAAACTGTTGCACTCTGTGGCATTCATCCATTTACATAACTGTACAGAAGGGGTCACCAAATCAGAAATGTTCCCACACATGGGGCCTTTAACTGCAAATCATGCATATTTAACATTTATGAAAGCATTTTTATCTACCTTCTCAATCAATCAATCACAGTGAACATCAAGTCTGCAAAAACCTTTGTCAAACATTAAGATAAGGCTGAGGGAAGTCGATGATTTTGTTATAGTCACCAAATCCAAAACAATGTGTTGGTCAGTCTCAATGCTTTATGACTTCTCCCAATTTGTTTTTAATAGTTTTTGGACAGTAATGGAGCTCTATGGCACAGAGGAATGAGGTATATCAGACTTTGGATACACTGGTACACTGGTACATGGATCACTTTATTGTTGGTTTTGGTCTTTTTATGAGAATAACATAAGGATAATATAGAATATCATGTTACCTATCTGCTAGTGTAGTCTGCACTGCATTACCTCCCAATAACAATGACAGTGAAAAATAATGCAGATTTAGTGTTCATGTCATGGATAAACTCATGTTCATATCACACCTATGGCTATAATGGCAGAAACATTAAAAAAACACTACAGCATGCTTTGCAAAAAGTGTAACTAAGAAGAGAACTAAGAGTTAAAACATTCAAAACTACTGGTTTGTTTAAGCGGCACCCCTGCAGCGGGAACCAGTCTGATGTATCTACAGAGTAAAATAAATACCTGTGTTAATCTGCCGTAGAAAAAATAAGAACGGCCGGTCCGCCTTGAAAACAGGAGCACGGGATCGTTTGAGTAGCACCATAGCTGCAAAGTTAAGAAATAATGTTTTTTAGCAACCTTATCCAATAACTCTTTGTCCTGTTAAAATAAATGGTTGCAGGTAAGTAGAATTGTGTTGAAATAACATATCACCTGTAGCAGCAGCTGCCTTGGTCCCATCTTCTGTGACTTCTATTCTCACTTCATGGAAGGCATCAGACACATAAAGACTCTCCTCCACTGCAGGAAGAAATACACGTTCAGCTGCGAGCAGAGCTACAGTAATTGTTCTGTGACCAGCAGTTTATGGTACGTTACTCTAATCTGGTAATCTGGGTTATGTTTAAAGCAAAAATACACCCTAAAGTGAACTTTAGTAAACTTCAGCTGGAGCTTTGTCTAGGTATATTCTGTACTGACCTGATATTCCAGTGAAATCAGCTGCTGTTGGGTTAAAGGCGTCACTGATGCCCATGGCGGGAAGCACTGACCTCAGGTTGAACTTGTTCTGCATTCTGAACCTGCGAACACCAGAAAATAATTGTTTGTACATCATCTCCCTCCATGCTGATAAAAACCTGAAAAAGACGTTCAAAGTCTGAGTCTAAAAATCACTTGTAACAGCGTGCATGATCTTAACCTGGGTAGGAAAATGTCCATCTTGGTTCTGCGCAGGCCGGTGTCCCAGGAGGCCAGCTGACGAGCGGTGAGCTGGGACTCGAGGGAGGACAGCGGCGTCTTCCTCTCGCTGGGCAGGACCACCTGCAGGCTCAGGGAGCGTCCCAGGTACGGCAGCTCCAACACAGTGTAACGCTGATCTGACGCCGTCCTGAACTGACCTGCCAAGGAGGGCAACAAGTTCAGGTTTTGCATGTCAGAAATTGTGCAGTAACCTCCTAGAAGTCTTGACATTGCTTAGCATGCTAACACACTACTCTAAGATGGTGAACGTGGTAACATTATACCTGCTAAACATTAGCATGTTAGAATAAAGAATTAAGAATATTTAATTTTTCTTAGTGAAGCTAGAAGATAGAACTGGCAATAGCATGTTAAGGATCCCAAATTTCTTCAAACTATTGGACATTCAGTTTACAATATGATGTGTTTATTTCTATAAGAATGTGGTCTTCCTCTTTCAATGGATGGATGGATGGATGGTGTCTCTTACCAAAGCTGACCTCTGTAGCCTGATACATCATGGGCACCTTGATGGCAGTCCCATCAGAGAGGACGAAGGGCAGGTTCTGGGTGTTGGTGAACAGGAACTGTTTCTGCCAGACGCCCCTAAAGGCCACCGTGTTGACCAGGGCCATCTGCAGCCGGTGGCCCCACCACAGGGCCTCTGCCTGGACCTCCCCTGAGCCCGACAGCTCCCCGCTGCTGCTTCCTGCCTGGAGGTGCCACGTCTCATCTGGGAGGTAATGAGGGAAGGGCAAAGTTTAATGTAAAGCTCATGTGGTCTGTCAGTGTCCAGAATATAGGCTCATCACAAAATAATTAACAGGAAAGGAAAGCTGAAAAAAAACAAAAAAAAACTTTCCTCTACACATAATCATGTATATATTTTTTGCTCTGTTCTTACTTTATTCTGTGAATTTTACTCTACTAAAGAATACTATCTGAGAAGTAAACAACAGTCTTTGGTTGAACTAGTCACAATCTGTAGACACCAGTAACAATTTATAAGTATACATATTGCTTCATGTAAGGGGTCACAAGCCAAAACAGCTAGAACCCACAGCTCTAAGAATTATAAGTTAAAGCTGCTTTAATGGATTTTTTTGGTCACTAGAGGGCAGAGGAACTCCACGACAAACTAACACACAGCCCTGCTGCACTATCGCTCTATATTGTGGTTATGGCTGACAGGGAACAATTGCCTGTTTCCACATCCAGCAGAAAAATGTGCACATTATTATTCCACTGAAGTCACCTTTTAGTTCTGGTGTGCTTTCAATTTACTCCTAAGATAAAAAATTGGTATCTTTTTCTGCTAAATACTCCACTATGTTCACCAGCTCGTCGCTAACTGTATCTGTGTTCTGTTTGATGCTGGGTAGGTAGTGTATAGTGGTTTCATCAAAGCATGTCTGCTGCTGCAGCTGGAAACGAGGTTAATGAGAGCACCAAGACTGAACCTAACAGTGAACGTGCCATAAAACCAAAACAAGGAGCTAAATAAGACTAAAAACCTTCATAGAGCTGCAGAGCTGATTATAATTCTCTGTGGGCTTGCCACAAGCCAACGCTTTCAATCACACACACTAATTTAATTCATTGTCAGTTTAAAAATATTGTTAAGTGGATCTCTAACTGCTTTATAAATCTGTCTTGCTCACCGTGGTTGTTGCCCGCTCGCTCCAGCTGGCTGCGAGTGTGGTTGGGTTGGCTGAAGTTGGCTCGGACCACGCTGGTGTTGGCCCAGGCTGCTGCATGTTTTGTGAACTCAGTCAGGAGCTGGACGCCGCTCTGTACGAATAATGTGCAGGTCTGCTGCAGCCACATCCCCTGGCTGGTGTTGCTTATGTCACTCTGTGAATGCAACAGGAAGTCTTGTACCTGGGCATCTGCATGATGGGAAGACAGAGGACGGGTTAGATGTGCTGGTTCGATACAGTGTATAGCTGTTTATGGAAAAATGTGTGCGCCACAGAGCTGTACACCATTATAATGCTCCAAACTGTTCACTATGTTAACTTTGGTCAGAAGCAGTTTCAGTATCTTATCCATCATCTGCACTGCCAAAGAAGTATAATTCACACCACTGGCACTGGAAAATGACTTGTAAAAATCTTCACAGCAGAAGAGTCATTACTGAAATGGATTCAACTCAACAGCCTTGCTTGTTTTACCAGCAACTTAACTGAATTTGCACCATATCCCTGCAGCACTGAGCACAAACAAATGCTCATTTCAGCTTTGCATAACACATTCTCTCAGTCTGGTGAGCACCACAGACCACAGGGATCCTCTCATCTGATAAACTCTGCCCATTTTCAAGTAAAATGATCCAAATTGAAGTCGAACACACAGTTTCTCATGGCTGCAGCATTGCATTAGTATGTAGAAGCAGTCAAAAATTCCCATGTTTTGTTGCTGTTTTTTCACTCATTGAGTAAACTTTTGACCTCTGCCTCTGCACTGAATGTTTCTTTGTATATTTATATCATTTATCTATAAGATAAGCAGTCATTGTCAGGAACAAAGCATGTAAGCAGTACCTACACAATGTGATCTCTACCAAAAGATGGCATCTTTCCTGTGCAGCAGTGCAAAACTTGTCGACTACAGATTTACCATCGGTCTGTACTAACTTGCAAAATCGATCAGAAAATAAATCTATTTTGATAATCGACTAATTGTCATTTAGCATTACCTTTGCTGTTGAGAATGTGCTTGAGCAAACCAGTTTTACAATAGCTGCAGCCCTTCATGGTTTCCTTTGGAGTTGATGGAAATTATTTTCAGATTACAGCCGACGTAGCGGGTTAAATTAGAGCCCAATATCATCAATTTCCATCCCTGACTGTCATGTGGGATCTCATCATGGGAGTTAAAGAGACAGTAGCTCTAACTCTCATTTCTGTTTGTAATTAAACACACTGACCTCTCGACCCCTAGGCCGAGCTGCAGGAGTGGTTAATGAGATTAGAGTTGGTGTGGAGGCAGGTATTATGGCTCCAGACACCACTGTGCTCTGCAGGGCCAGCAGCAGCAGCAGCAGCACCGCTCCACACCACCTGGTACCAACAGCACTGAGGGCCACCGACAACCTCCAACCCCACTCTCACAGCACGAGGAGCACCCAGTGCTACAAGCTCTGCCTTTTTCATCTCCATATCAAAAACTTGGGATGAATCCTACCGTTCATGTTGTACCCGAGTGTTCCCTCCAGCTGAGCCAGCGTGTTGCCCCGGGCACCGAGCTGCAGCAGCCCCAGAGACACGGAGACGCTCACTGGTGACACGATCAGGTTGGAGTTGTTCTCTGTCTCTGTGAGCGTCTGGTAGAGGCTGACGGCGAACCTGCTGTGCAGCTCTCCCATGCTGTGCTGAAGGCTGCCGTTACAGTGGCTTCTCTCCACCAACCAGAAGCAAATGAAGAGTGAAGCCACTGGCAGGCGACACATGTCCTCAGTGCTGCAAGAGGGGAAGTGTCCACAGGGTGCAACAGGTGGCCCAAAAGACTAAATCCTGTAAGCCCAAAAGACAATAAAATCAATAACCCACTGAGGTCAGCGAGGTCAACCAACAGGCTGAACTGTTGATCTTCAGTGGAATCCACATCAGTATTGTAGTGATATGGTTCTCATTGATCATTTTACAAAAACGTTTTGCTGCAGTTTAATGTAACACATAAAAATGGAACATTTCATATGTGGGTTTTGCATACATGAATGAAATTTCTTCCACTGCAAAATAAAGTTTAGTTGACATATAAGTGTTTCATAAATACTATATAAATATTGAGCAACATGAAGTGACAAAATCCGAAAAGACATAATCACTAAACATACACAACAAATGTATGACATTATTATCAATTTACCCAGACGTGTTCAGGAAGAATTGCATATGACTGTGGTAAACTTCAGAATTGTCGAAATCAGAACAGTTTAAGCAGACTGTAAAAATACTGCCAAGTACCATACAGCCATTTAAGCCATCTAATCTTGTAATTAGGTAATGTTTCATCACTTACTGTGACATGCAAATATCCAAAACTAACTAAGTACATTTACTTGAGTGATTCAATGCAATGCAATACTACAAAAGTAGCTCCATCTTGCCTGCACGTTAATGCATGATATAATAATAGTCATAATAATAATCCAATATAGCAATTTAACACCCACTGGGGCCATTTTTCTGCATAATCAGCGCATTTACCTTTGATTGCAGTGTGTATTGCTGATGATACTTAATGTATACGTTTACTGAAGTTTAAGAATATTTACTTATAATGCAGCTCTTATATTATATCGTTACTTTTACTTATATTTCTTAATGCATTAGATAAATGACGCCTAATGAGTGCCTCTCCCATGTTTGGCACACCTTATGCCGATTTAATGGACCGCTGTGATCATTTTTGTCTACTGGAAATGATGATGAAAAGTTATGATGATTTAAAAGTTCCTAGGACTGTTCTGATGCGTCTCCATTGATGGCTCAGCTCAGCACAGATGACGGCAGATGCAGCTGCCCCTACCTGCGGACAGGTGAGGTAGTATCCGTTAAACTCCAGCTGTTCCCTCAGACTGCCGCCAACCATTCAGCCTCTGCAGGGGCGCTGTGTCCTCTCCGTCCCCGGTCTCCTGTCACCGAATCAGTCCTCTGCTGTCCCCGGCTGTCGGTCTCTGGTTCGGTCCTCACTGAAGCGGTCTGTAGTCATAAGACCGTGTTTAAAGGGGAACGCTCCGCGCCGTGTTTGCGGTCTCCGTCGGCGATGTCCGTACCACTCGTCCGGGATCCCAGCAGCCCCGGGGCTATAAGGAGCCAGGCGGAGGGAGGCATGTCTCTGACCAGCAAATCCCAAACCGGGCAGAGGGGAGAAAAAAAACACCCTCACACGCGCGCACAGCTCGCATGCATGCACGCACGTTCACTGAAACTGTAATCAGTTGTTGGGGTCTATTAATAGCCAATAGAAGCACATCAAACACACACATGAGCAGGGCAAAGTCAAAGTGATGACCTAACCTACAGCCGGTGCCTACCTGACTGTCTGAGGTCTGATGGTTTGGGAACTATGCTCAGGTTGTGGGCCTTTTGCTGATGGTGGGGAGGATGGGGGGTGTAAGGTGTGCAGGTAGTGTGTCAGGTATGGTATCTGTTTGAGATTTCTGCCACCACCACCATAATATATTGAGGAGAATGTCTGCACTGTGGACAGTTTTTGGGACTATTTCTTCAGTAGAAAGCATCCCCATTACCCATTATTATTAATTGTGGAAAGTCAGCCTCATTCATGGGTTATCTGTTAAATTATGGTATTGGTATTATACAATAATATCCTTTTAATAGCCTATGCTGTATGTGTTACTGACTATTTTTATTAGTTGAATTTATGCTTTTTAATGAAGCATGGTAAATGTGGTAAATGTGTTGATTTAACAGAAACATATGGTGTAAGAGAGTGTTTTACTGTTACTGCCTGTTGCCGTCATTTACTGTATTGATTAGAAAGGTCCTTCCTGTATATGGGAGCTGATCCATGCATGCAATAATACTACTGATGCAAATAGCCTATGTGAGGCTTTGGATTTATGTAAGAGTTAATAGAAAATAGTTTTGACTCTCCAGAGTAAACGGATCAGATGTTTACTTACAGTAAAATAAAAATGGTCCCACCGCTCTGATGGCAAACTTGAAAGGCCACCAAAAGCATGACCGTTTGACTTCTTGGCCAGGCACAGTAACTTTCTTGACTCTTGTCATCACCATGAGGTGACATGCAAGCTGATTTTGTGCAGGAAAATGTCCTGTATGAACATAAGCCTATACAAATATGTTATTAAGTGTACAGCTAAAATAATAATAATGTAAAGTGTAGTTCCTCTTTAAAACCATTTTTGCACTTTAGATGACCACAATGTAGGGAAGCCCAGGGGCAGACACTTCTTCATCTCCCCCTGGGGTTTCCTGCTTTGTTAATACAACCATGGAATCTATCATATTATGTCTGGCTAGTTTTAAATACTTTTCCATTCCCAAGCAAAATGTTTGTGTTCCCCTTGCAATACATTTGTATTCATTAGCAACACACAGCCGGTTTATTGATCGACCTGAACATACTGAAAGGGAAGTATTGTTTGTGGTGAAATTATTGTTAATTGGGACAATATTTGTCATTTCTTATGGCATCAATATCTATCACTATCACTATAGAATATCATATTAATTGTATTTTCTTTTTCTTGTGATTATAAAGTCCTTTTACTGTTATTTCTATTCACACACACACTAAGACATCCATTGTTTTATAGAAGTCATTTGGCCTTTTGTTGCGATGATCAAAAGACATTTCTGCTTTGAGCATCACACTGCTGCATCAGCGTTTCTAATTGGTGTCACTCTGTGGAATGTGGACTCACTCATCGTGAACATGTTGCCGCTCTAGCATGTGTTGAATAACAGCTTCTCATCCATCAGGAAGCATTTTATTAATGACGTGTACAGACATGGGCTATAGTGTAAAAAAGACATTTAGACACGTTGTTGTTATTTTTCTAAACCAAATTAGCTCCACTGAGAACACATTTTTTTAGAGAGAATTAGAACAAAAAAGATAATTAATGTTCAATATATATATTAAAAACAATAAATATAATCAAAGTCAAACAAAGTAAGAACTAAATGAAGGTATATTTTCATATATACTTATAAACAATAAGGAAATGTGGATGGTTGATGACTAGCTAAATGCTAACACTAGCATGGAAACTTGTCAACATGCTGATGTTCTGCATGTATAATGTTAACCATGTTCACCATCTTATTTTCACATGCTGACATTTGCTAATTTGCACAAAACATTAATGGGAATGTCACTGGTTTTGTAGGTATTTAATCATAAATCAAAGTATCGGATAAATGAAAATTCTGACCTGATAATGATGTTGGATGAAAAGTCAGTGGATCACCAAAGTTACTATAATTCACCCTGAGAGGAACATGGATGTCCGAGCCAAATGTCCTGGCAATCCATCCCATAGTTGTTGAGACATTTCAGTCTGGATCAAAGTGGTGAACTGAGAGATTGACATTGCCATCACTAAAAACTGAGTTCTAAAATTATCCAAAACCCAGACAAAAACAAAAAAGAAAGAAACAGATTCAAAATAATAATAATAAAATGTACATTTCAGAAGCACAAGAGAAAATGACACTGTTAAGTACAGTCTGGTCTTCATAATCTTCTCCCTGTATAATCAGATGTTGCTCTTGTTGTAATATAAGTGGCAAGCCAAAACTATTAGACATCTACTTAATCCATTGACTTTGAATGTCATTCCATTTGAAAGTAATTACACAGATGAAGTGTTATTGAAAGTGCCACAATATCCATCATTATCCACTCTTAACAACTCTTTTAATGTAGAAATTTTTGCAGTGAGACAGAGCAGACTAAATTAAGGAACTTTGTCTAATTAATTTTTTACTTGAGGAAAAAATCCTGGTTTCAAGTACAGAATGCTTATGCTGTTAATGATAGCATGCCCTGTATTTCACCTAAAATCAATCTGCTATGGAGTGGTCTCCCCTCATCTGTCCCTCTTAATTGGGGACATGACAGTCAGCAAAATAAACTGTGCGCATTTTTTCCCATGAAGGAGAGAACATGATTGGTAGCCATCAGGTATTTGGCTGCTTTGTCTAACGGGGAATTCCGGCCATTACTGGACTTGACTAATTAGTGGAGCCATGGCTTGGCTTCATTAAACGGAGTCGCCACATTCTTTAAAACCCAACGCCCCAACTCCGGACACAGGAATTTGGATTTTTAAGGTCTGGGATGGAGGAGATCACGGTAGCCGACCAAAGATAATTGTTTGAAGAGATGCCACCATAAACAGCAGCTTTCATCTTGGCGGCTGTGAGGCCTTTAGAGGAACACTATGTTAAAAGTTCATATTTGTGAAGAAGAAATAATGATTTGTGCTCTGCGTCTCTGATCCCTGGACCAACCTCAAAGCAATATGCCGCCGTTCTGAGGGGTTAGGAGAGAGGGCAACTTACTCAACAGTGTCACTCTGCCGTGTGAAGTTGTGCTTAGGAGGCCTCAGCCTGACAGGCAGGGGCGTGTCCAGACTTTTTTGACTGGGGTGGCACAAGTGAGGCACTGACTTATGCAGGGGTGGCATGAAGTATGTGTCCCTACTTTCCATTCATTCCCAATTTATGCAATTCCAGTACTGTTTGGGGACCATAGTATGCAGAATTATTTAAATAGAAATAGAAAATAGAGCCATAGAACCCATTTTTATTCCGATATCTTGAGGTCAGAGGTCAAGAGATACCTTTGAAAATCGCCATGCCAGTTTATCCATCGCCAAAATGCAGCCTAACTTTGAAGTTTGCACCTCCATTCTTCACACGTCTGTACCGGTAATCGACTCGGCACTGATTCATTGCAACATGCTAATATTAAAAACACAGGCACTCTCTGGTCATTGA